AAAAATCCCTAATGGGATGTACAAAGGCAGCGGTAGGCAGCGGCACGTCCGAAGTAATCCTTCTGATCTTCCCTGATAAGGCGGCAGCCGGGGGGGCTGTGCCTGGGTTTGGTCCTGGCTCTTCACATTTATCTAGACAGCTGGAGTCGGTCCGGCCGAGGGCGATGGAAGTGATCAGCAGGTCAGAAACGAGTTAGGGGCGTTCGGGCCAACGAGGAGGCGAGCGGAGAACAGTGGTCTTCAAACATCTCCGGGCTTCCTGCCAAAATGGAAGGGCACCATGTGTCTTTCCTGTTTGGGGTGCGTAGGGTTGAATTACAGGAGGAATTTTAGAATTTAGGAATTTAGTTTAGATTAGCTACGTAGGAAAAGGTTTAATGTTAAGGGCAGGGAAGCACTGAAGGGAGCGTAGTGATGTTTAACGCAGAATTAGGTGGTCTTGTCTACCAGAATTAGATGTGGTAGGAAAAATATCTCGTGTTGTCTGTGGGTTATTTGTGTGTGAAATTTTTATTAGCATTGATTCCCCTCCCCCCCGCCCCGAATTATGCTTAATGTTAGATAGGGAGACAAAACATCAGGATTTTTTTTAGTTTCCTGTGAAAACTGAATAAACATACTGAGAAGAAAACATGGTGTCAGCTTTTACATTTTTGTGCAGTATCGCACGGGGGAAAAAAATCAAATTAAATTCTCCTGTGGGGGGAAGCAAGAATCTTTTTTTGATGAAAACCTGTCTTTTTATGCCAAAAATCTAGTACTTGAGAAGAATATTGAAATCAGACCTAATGCCTCAGGCCTTGCTAGTTATAGTAATTCAAAGAATTTAATTGATTTCTTGGATGAAAACCAAGCACAGCTTGTTTCAGTCTCTGTAAACTATGGTTAAATCAGTTTGGCATTCTTTTACTTTCAACTTAGGAATTTAGATGCGCAATTTTGGAGTTTTCAAGTGCAAGGAAAGATTTTTCTGTATTTTAAACCACATGAGTAGAAGCTGCTGTTTAAAGCTCATTTCCCTGATGTTTGGAGTGGGAAGAAAACTTCCTTATGGAAAAGCTGTCTGTTGGCTTTTCAAATAAGAGGAGGAAGGGACTAGTATCGTGCCTGATGACATTTCATTTGTTTTCATTCAAATGCAGGTTCCTTCAACCATTTCATTGTTCTTTCTATAAATTCAAACATTTATTAGCTCATCATGTATAGATTTTCCTTTATAGAATCATAGAATTTTTTAGGTTGGAAAAGACCTTTAAGATCATCAAGTCCAACTGATAACCTAGCACTGCCAAGTCCACCACTAAACCATGTCCCTGAGCGCCACATCTACACGTCTTTTAAACACCTCCAGGGATGGTGACTCCACCATTTTCCCTGGGCAACCTCTTCCAATGCTTGACAACCCTCTCGGTGAAGACATTTTTCCTCATGTCCAATCTAAACCTCCCCTGGCACAACTTGAGGCCATTTCCTCTCATCCTGTCGCTTGTTACTTGGGAGAAGAGACCAACACCCACCTCGCTACAGCCTCCTTTCAGGTAGTTGTAGAGAGCCATGAGGTCTCCCCTCAGCCTCCTTTTCTCCAGGCTGAACAACCCCAGCTCCCTCAGCCGCTCCTCATCAGACTTTATTTTAAACGCATGACATGGTGTAGTTCCTGAGTAGATAAATAACTCATTACTACTGTAGATATTTCAGCTCATCTCATTTTTAGCGACCTTTCAGGGTATCGTGGGCAATCCACTCATGTCAAGATAATTAGGGCAAGTCACAGCATCCAAAAAAGGGGTCATTAATGGAAGAACAGAGATCAATTATTGCTTGTCTGCGTGGTGCCTAGAAGATGCTAGTCCTGAGTACTGGCAGACGCTGTAAGATGAGCTGCAAGGAGCTTACAGTTAGATGATGAGATAAATGGTCCATGACACTATGCCAAGATGGGGGGCAATCCGGACAAGGATCGTCTTTCCCATTAGGTAAACAGGTGACAATATGCTGGGACATAACCCCAGTTGGGGCACTTTCTCCTCGGACCGTAGGAAGGATTGTGCTCCCAGTGTAAAAGGATTGCACAGATTTGCTGACCAAAGTACGTTTAAAAGCCTTCCTTAAAATAAACACCACCTTCCACATGTCTTACCTGCTGGCTAAAGACAAAATAAAAAGACATTTCTTGTCCATCTCTTTGAAAGGCACCAGGTGAACCACGAAAAGAAGCTGCACACCTGGAAGCCCTTCCAAAAAAAAGTCCCTTCATTCCAGAAGCGAACAGGATCAGAGATGGTGGTTTGGAAGGGGCGGAGGCTTTTGTATCCTCGTCACAGGGTTGCCAAGTGCAGCTGATGCAGTTGCATTTGTCTTATAGTTAGCATCTCCAAATAGTGATTACTGCATATTAATTACCTAATCCTTCTTCAGGGTTCTGGCGGTGGAGCCTGCGTGGAGTTCATTATTTCCGTCTAAATGTATGGCGGAGGATTTTGCTGGTGTTTGTTCTGTTTTTCAGAGAAGCATCAGCCATGTGGGTCCAACAATCAGTTACCGATAGTCATTGAGCTGCTAATCATGACAGTGGTAAAAATGAACCTGTCGTGACTCTAATTCTAGCATGTACAGCTGGCCCCTTACACACATTACCAAAAAAAGCGGCGTGCATAAAGTGTTGTTTCTGAGCTCATCGCTCTTGAAGACAGCGATGTGTTGAGTGAGACGCTGGTTGCCCCTTTAATCCACCTCCTTTGCTCCTTCAATCGTAAGAATCCACCTCGTGCCTCTGGCAATTGTTGCACTCCACAGTCTGCTGGATTTCACCGGGCAGGGAAGCGTAACCAAGGTTGCTTCACGGGGGGCTGGGGAACCTTTAATTTGCTTCGGTTTGCTCCAAACAGAGCACTGCTTTGTTCAGGTTTCAGGTCAGGGTTAGGCCTTGAAGTGCAAAGCAGAACTTGATAGGAAATAATTTCTTGTGCAACAGTACAAATTATCCTGTTCAGAAATGAATTTGCATTGATTCAAAGGTGTGCTGAGTTTTGTTACTAACAAAACTCGGGCAGCCTTCTCTGTGTCTTTGGGAGGTCGTTGTAAGTTTGTTGGTAGGTATCTGCTACGGCACCTGCAGCTAAAACTTTAAACCGTCTTCAAAACAGGGGAAGAACCGAGCAGAATGGCCAGTGTCTTTAAAAGGGGAGATGAGTTTCACAAAGCTGTCCCTAAACATCAGATAAAGTGACTCAGCCAATGCACAGACAGCTCAGATGTCACCTGAGACCTAGATACCTTTTTTTCCCCTCAGTCCTGTAACTTTATGGTCGGTTTTGCCCCAGTGGGTAAATTCTGACTATTCTGACTTGAAAGGAGTGGGGAGCACGAGGCAGTAGCGTGCCACCTTTCTGCAGCGTCTCAGATTTGGTCACTGGTGGGCAGCAAATTGCTTATGGTTAGATTTGAGAGGTGGGTCCTTCCATCTCCCTCGTCGGAGAGTCACTACTCAACACTACCCTTTCTAGTCCCCCTTTGGAAGATGGTGGTGTGTCTTAGCTTGCTGTGGCTTTTTCTCTTCCATCGCTGGGTCAATTCTGCAGCAGGTGACAGCCCTGCTCTCAGCAGGTCACTGCATGGGATGAAACATGATCTGCTTCTAGACCAAACCAGTGTCTAGCTTCTTCCCTGTAGAGAAACCAGCCCTAGGACAGCTTCGGTGTCTCCTGCTGGCCAGCACCCTTGTCCTCGGTCATCCCATTGCATTAAGTTAACGGAGTCCTCCTGAGCTTGTCACTTTCCATCCTTGTCACCTTCTCCTTGAGCTCTGCTTTCAAGGAGATCCCATTAGCGCTTAGGTCGCGCTGGATGTCTTCCACATCTTAGTTTTCAGCAGCCAAAAGCCCTGCGAACCCAATGCAAAACTTAGAGGCTTCAAGAGTTGAGATTCCTACTGTGTGCAAGGCAGAAACAGCCGTTCCTCTGCCCTGATCACACGGGAAGGACACTGCAGCTACCACAGTTCCCTTCCTTTGGTCCCTCTGACTCTTTTCAACCCCTGCTTTCAAAGTCCCGAATAAAATTCCATTTTGCTCCCCTGCTGGTGTTTTTGTGCCCTGGAAAGTGAGTAAACACAGCACACTGTTGTGTCTTTAGCTGATCCATGCCCCCGGACTCTGCAGCACGTTATCTGCTTTGTTTACTGCCAAAAATAAGCGTATCTCGTAGTTCACTCCTGATGGCCGCGCAGAGGTGAAGTGGTTGCGGGGGAGCCTGCTGGACTCTGTCCTAGCTCCTCTATCATTAACAGAAGTGACGTTTGAATTCGAAATACTTTGATTGCTAGTAAGAGTTGGTGTGAACTGTGTGTTCAGGAAATTGTTGAAAAAATAACAATTTTACTGGTAAATACAGAAAAGACGATCTTGAGCCTCTGAGATGCAATGTGTGTGCAACTCATGCCGTTTTTGCAGACGCTTCAGATTCACGCGGCAAAAAGGCAGGAAGGGAGACGTTCAGGTTAAGCAAGGGAGAGATACGCTTAGGTTTATTAACTTGCCGTTTATTCGCCGTTGTAACAACTCTTGCCTGGGAGGTTATAAATAAACCTCCTATTGATCCGATGCCTTTGGAAGAGAATTCCTGTCTAAGTGTGCAACGCTGGTAAGTCGGCAGCTGCCTGTTCCTGAGTCCCCACGTCACGTTTGTCACTTGGCTTTGGGATGCAGTCTTGAGGAGCGGTTCCCACCCGCCCTGTGGCCGCAGCCTGCCCCTCACACCACCGAAC